TATTTATAAGATCTTAGAACTGGCAGTGTTGTCAGCCTGAGTACAAGAGACTCTTTACAAGAGGAAGGGTGGCTATGATTTTTTTCACTTGTTACACCCTCGTGTTGTCTCCTTCTTCTTCACCTTTCTCTACTGTAATGGATGTGTCTTTCCACCCTGAACTCCTCCTCCCCTTCTCAGTCTCCTAAGCAATGTGTGGTGCAATCAGATGACTATGCAGGGTCACAGCTACTAAAGCAAGAGGGCTTCCTGCTGACAAAAAGCCTCAAAACAATATAAATGGCTGCTTACACCTAACAACTGGTTATTAATAACAGCTCTGTGATGCTGTTACATGGACAGCATCACAGTGGTTTAGTGATGTTTGAGGAGTTTGTTTAGTGATGCGAGGAAAATATGAAACTGTTAATACTTTTGTTGCTGCTCTTTAGTACTGTTTTACTTGATATTTTGGCTCTTAAATATTTAGGGCTGGGTGTCCAAGGGAATTCACTGCCTAGATTGCTTCAGAATGTTCAAAAGAAGCAACATAAAAGATTTTAGCACAGTGATAAGAAGACTGAAGCAAATTCAGAGTTTTAAATGCAACCTGAAGCTTATTTATGAGCAGGTGTACCCCCTAATTATATTGGCCTGCAAATACATATAAGGTATGCTTAGACCCATGGCTCTATTGAGGGTAGTTGTATTAACAATTCACATATGGAAGGTACTTAAGATACATTGTGGCTATACTAACTGCAGCTGTACTAAAAGCATCTCTAGGTCAAAAAGCAAGTTGTTCCCTGAGTAGTGGTCTAAGGAAGTCTGTTTATAAAGGGCTATGTTCCATCATATTCCCACTCCTCGGTGTTTTCCCTGCTCAGTCCAGTATCTATGACCTGTTTGGGTGGTTGGTACCTGTATGTGTGGATCCCGGAGCAACGATTTGGCTGACAGGCCAGCAGTGCCTATGTGCTGTTTGTCTGGCTTGCTGGCAGCCATGTGGGTAAGGTTTGAATCATAATTCCTTATTTCAATGAGGATGTTAATTTGGATCGTTCTTCCCTATCCAGATGTTAATTGTCACACAGTTTACACAAACTCACATCTTTGAAACTGCTTCTCTACTATCAGGTTTGACTGAAATAGTCACAGGTTCAAAAAAAAAAAGACGGAAAAGACGGATGGATGGACCAAGGAAAAATGTAATCCTTATTTGGTTATAAAGTAGGTAAAAAAAAAATATCCCTAAATTAGCATAAAAACTGTTTAAATAGAGCATCTCCTGATTTTGGATCTAGTTAGAATCTAGTCTGGAGGAGTCGTAAGTATTTATCAACGTGCAATTTAACATACTCATGAACCACTTCTGAATTTGAATGTCTGGGTCTCTGCATTCAGTCTTGATTAACTGGCCCAACAATGAACGTTAATTACCTTTATTTACATTGCCTATAGAGCTATGGTCAACTTTGTATCAGCAAACTTGAAGCTTCCTAAACATGTTCCAACAGGGTAACATTCAAGTTGTCTTCCATGTAGTGGAGATAAGCCCTGAGAGCTTACACTGGGAGATACATTTTGCAATGAGCTGTCAGTGTAAGGAACAGGGGAAGAATATAAGAGGAAAGTGGAACTCATGTGCCTCAAAGTACATAAGAGTCTTTCCCCTCACTCCTCAAGAAATAAAGACATAGGTAAGACACAATGCGACTAGGAAAAGGCATTTTTATTTACATTTAGAGTCCGAATATATAGGGAAAAAAAAAAAATTAAGTGTTAAGCTTGTGTGTTCTTCCCAGCAATAAACTGAGCTGACTACAGTAGGACAGCACAGGACTAAAGACAATATTCTTTACCTTGGTGGAAGTTAGTGAGTGTGCCTACAGAGATATATACTTAAATATATACATGCGTGTATATAATATATACATCTCCCCACAAACACGCTTATCTGATTTTCCATAGTCGTAATCACTTCGCAGTGACATTCCTAAAGACAGGAATTTCCCGGGTTGGGCACAGCTGTGGTTCCTGCCGCTGGCAACAGTTTCTTGTGGCAATGAGTTCCACGTGCTCGTAACACAGGGTGTTAAAAAAGCTTCCTTTTATCAGGTTCGAGGGCGAGGCCGGGCCGCTGCTGGAAGCGTGCCTATCAAGAGTGATGCCTCGGCTCTGTTGGTGGTAGAAGATTGTTCCTCTGGACTTTTCTTACAACAATAAATAAACGTCAAGCCAGAAAAGGAAGCCTGCTATTTTTCAAATCCAGAAGCTGTAATCACACTAATCCATATGATCGTGCTAAAGCCAAGCAACATGCCTTTTGCATATGATGTAATCATTTAGCGTAGCCTATTTATAACCATCGACGGCTGGGAACACCTTCCCAGGAAAATATAATCAGGAGAGTTTTTCCTTGATCGCATTCCTCCTCTTCCTCCCTGTATTTTTCAGTTAGTTGTGCTCTTTTTCCTACTTTTGCTGTCTTCCCACCCTTAAATACAGCAATGTCCCTTGCTTTTTTATTTTTCGTTTTAAACTAACGCTTTCCACTCCTTTCAGTGTGTTAGAGCCATACTGAGTGAAATCCCAGTCCTCTGAAATCAATACCAAAACTTCTATTGATTTCATATAGTAGATTCTTTTAAATTCAGTACAAATGCTCCACATGACTCATCTATTTAAAATATGGATCTACTGTACAGAGCTGTCTGTCTCAGCTGGATACATAAAACAGCATGTTTAATAAATTTGCCGGTGTGGTTTGGTAGCATTATATGTAATAGATGAAAATCTGTTGGTTGTACTAAGGAGGATACCAAGTGTAAAGGGGGAAAATTCATCAATGTAAATATCTATCTGTGGATCAATTGGTATCAATCTTGTTTAACAGTCTATTTCCTCAGGACACACTTTGGAAACAAAGAGCATTTCAAACTGCTAGTTAAACAAACAAATATATAGAAGCTCCTTGGGCAACATGCGGGTGGAGTAATCACCAGATAAAAATGGTCAGCGACCTTAAATACTTGTTAATCTCTTCTATTCTGTATTCCTAAATACAGTTTCTCTTGATGTAAAGTGTCCATTAAAGTGAATCAGGAGTGGGGGTTTGTAAAACCATTATTTTGCAAAGGAAAGTGGCCTGGAAAACAAAATTTGTCCCCTGACCTCTGTGTTCAATAATTGTCCAAGGAGGAGGGTAATGCCTTCTGCTCTGCAAGATTTTTTTTTTCCTAAGGTTTGTATTATCCTTAGCTAAATAAAAGCTCTTATGAGACACTGTAAAAACAGAAACAAACCCCAAGAGGATATATAACTAATTAGATCATGATGCGCTGTTTATCTTGGTCTACAATGTTGAGATCTTTCATGCCTGTCCCATGCAAACTACAACTCACACCTCCTCAAACATCCCCCCCCCCCCCCCCCCCCCCCCAAGAGATAATCCTGGCCAGTGCCATGACTGCTTAGCATGACTGTATGCGCAGGCTAAAGGTTTAGAATAAAGCATACGTTGTACAAAACACAGTGGGTTTATACAGTGAAAATGCTGGTAAAGTAACTGGTAAAATGAGACTGTGGTGTTGCACAATGTCCTGTGGCAGTTGCATGGCCTCAATAGGTATCATTGCTTCCTCCCACTGCCTTCCTGCTCGCTATCAAGACTTGGGTTTTCCACTCCACATCACTCTTTTGACCCGACCCCCCCATAATCTCTCAGGTGGATGTTTATCTTCACAGCAGCTCTGCACTGAAGAAACATCACCCTCCATTTGCAAGTGGGAAACTGAGGCACAGCCCCATGTAAATTGCTTACTGATGAATACAATAACAAGTGCATAGGGAGTCTGACTTCTGCTGAACCTAGATCTTCTGAACCCTTTCTAGGTGCCCTACTCTGAATCAACAAAAGCATCTCTTCACCAAACCAATCAATCTCTCCAGTGCCTTCCAGGAACCCATTTCGTTTTTCATAGATAGACCTGGGGGGAGGGTGGGAGTGTTCTACATGAAAACAAAGAGCAACCATGTTTCCCACAAAGACTGCGCAATCCACATATCCATATATTCCAAGGATCCTCACATTTTTGCTTAAGCAAGATCTGGCTGACTTCAGTGGGGGTCAGGGGGTGGAGGTGACTCTGTGCTACAGCACTCAGGGGCTTTAAGGCAAAGTAAATCTGAGACTTAACTGAGCTGGGTCCAGCAGTCAGTTCCAGCCGCATGGACTGTACACTAAAGTGCCACCCAGGGCCAGGGCCACCCAGCTAGGGCACGATTTAAATGTGGTGCTTCTTCCCACGGAACCCGACAGCAGGAGAGGGCAGTGAAAATGATTCCACTATGCACTTACACAGTCAGCTCAGTGCAGGAAAACACTTTCAGAGCGGTGGGGTTTTTCACATGAACTTTTTGCATGTCTTATGGGTTTTTTTTTAATTATTTTTTCTTAAAAATACTACTGGCTCGATTTTGTCACTTTCCCAGAAAATGAGACTTAAAAAGAAGTCTTTAAACAAGTGAACCAACGCAAAACATAATCACACGCCGTCTGGATCTGCTTTGAAAGCCCCTTAACTTGCCCACGACACCAGGAGACCCTGGGCTCATCCCCTCGGACAATCAGTGCTTTTCCCTTTTCCACCTTATCTAAGAAAAGAGGGAAAATCAGCATTGTCCGGGCTCCTGCTTGCTTAGGGAAGGAAAAAAAAAAAAAAAAAAAAGAAAAAGAAAAAAAAAGTAAAAAGGGGAAAACAGAAGTGTTTAAAGCACAATATAAACCGCGCAGGTGAGACAACAAAGGTATTGTCCCTCTTCAGCATGGAAAGTCGTGCTGCCGGGTTGTTTGTTTACTCGCGGGTTGGATCCTGCCCCCGCCGCCGGGGAAGGGGTGTCGGGGGTCCCGGCGCTGCCTTTGTGGCCGCTCGGGCGGGGCGGGCCGGGACTACATAGCCCAGCGTGCCCCGCTGCGCCCGGATCAATGGCCCTTATTTGAATAATCTGTGAGCCCTTGGACTCAGGCCAATCAGCTGTCAGGGGCCCATGATAAATCGCAATGCATTATTGATAATCATAATTACTCTGACATGCGCATTCCGCCCAATGGGGGTAATTTCCCAACTCTAGGAATTTGTTGTGAAGAGGAAAATAATTGCTACTATTTTGCTCCCGATGCTGGTGCACCATGTCGCGACGGAAGCAGGCGAAGCCCCAGCACATCAACTCCGAGGAGCAACCCCCAGATGCTGCAAGTGGTAAGGCGCAAAGGGGGGGTGCGCAGCCGCTGCGGTCCGGCTGACCTGATGCGCGGAGACGGCGGCGCGGGCGCTTCCCGGGGGCTTTTCCACCCTCGTGCTTCACCCCTCGCTCCTTTTCCCCCCTCTGGGCTCTGCCAGGAACCCGACCCCCAGCTACGCGCAGCCTTTGGGGGCCCCGAAATCCCCGCGGAGCCTCAGCGCGGGGTTGTTCCGCGGGGCTCCAGCCCCTCGTTATCTCCCGCGGCTTTGCGCGGCTCCGGGTGCAGTTTTGCGCGGACCACGGAGCTGCCCGAAAACTCCCTCGCCGTGCCCGATCCCCCACCCCGCCATGTCCAGCACCCCTAGTCCCGCGGAACTTGTGCCGGCCCTGCTACTGCTCTTGGGGTGCAGCCTCATGGGAGGTGACCCCCAAAGGGAGTTGGAGGGGGGAACGAGAGATTGTTCGGAATCTTCACAGTGGTAGTGAATGGCTTGAGTTTGGTTTCCCCGGTCTGCTTAGCACTTTCTCGGTAGTTATATGAGCATTTTTGTGGGGCTTAAAAAAAAAAAAAAGACTCGCTCGGACTATTTTTGTTGGAGATCATAATCGCCCTGGACCTTTTGTAGCTTGACCTCCAGCCATCTTTGATTTCCGACTTCCTAAAATAACTCCGGTGAGCTAATGTGGGATGTGCGTGAGCGCTTTGGATTTGGGCGATGTGGGGGGATTTTGGTACCGCAAATCACTGTCTGTCCTTTTAGGGGAGCTCCTAGCCCTGCGCCTTCCGAAGGGAAAAGTTACGAATTTGCGCTCAAATGAGCCTTGAGCTCCCGGGGTGGCGGCTGTGCCGGGGAAACTCTGCAGGCACTCGCCTGCGTGCCCCCTCCTGCTCCAGGAGCGGGGAAGGGCCGGGGGCTGCCGGAGCGTGCCCGGTTCTCCTCATCGATCAGCATCTTCCCGCAGCTGAGCTGCGGAGGGGCCTGGCGACTCATGGGGCTGCGATGCGGGTTCTTCCGCCCGGTACTGCCGCCCTTGGTCCCGCAGAGCCGGAGAGAAGCTCCTTGTGTGCGGGTCCAGCTCCAGATCGGGAGGAGAGCAAGTCCCGTCCCGGGTGGGGAAGGGGAAGCGGGTGTTGGGCTGACCAGGGGTGCGTTTGGGAAGAGTTGTTGTGTTCAGACACTTTTGTATGTGACCCAAGAACTTTCTCTGGATTCTCTGTCTTCCTCAGGGGCTGGTTTTTCGTGTTTTTTTTTTCCATTCCCAGAACTGATCAATACCAATGTACGTTACAGGAGCTGATTATTCCCAGACCGCAGGAGGTTCGGGCTCTTAATTTTTCCCTCCTCTTCCCCCCCCCCCCCCCCTTGAGTCGAAATGTGCGATTGTTGGGTCCGGTTAATGGTGACTTAAGAAACAGCAAGCTGGCCAGAAGGCAATAAATCCCATGTTTAATGCATGACTGTTTTCCTTTGTGCATATGGTTAGGTTGGGGGATGGAGGTGATGTTTCCACATGTAAATCTCTGCCCGCTGCTGGAAAGCCACCTCCGGCTCTGCGCTGAAACAAAAGGGTTAATAACTCCTGATGGGCTCGCTCGGGGCGGGGGAGGTGTGCGGGGCGGGGAGGATCGCTCCGCATCGCGCTCTCCGGGGCAATGGCCAGCTGCTTTTTTGTTGTTGGTTGTGGGGCTTTTTGTGTCCCCCTTTTCCTTTAACACCAGAACCCCGGCTGGAAATCCCTCCGGGAGCCGGGGCAGGGGTTGCACGGCCCGAGGGGGGACCTGCCGAAGCGTTCACCCCGCCTGGGGGGGTTGCATGGATGGGGCTGTGTTTTGTGGGTGGCGGAGCCGGAGACCCGAGGGGAGCGGGGGTCGCGGGGTTGCTGTGCGCCGCCCCGCGGCCGCGCCCCGCCGGACCTTCCGTGCGGGTGTCCGGGTCCGTCCTGCGCGATCCTTTCCTATGCTGCCTTCCGAAATGAACGCCGTGGCGATGGCTCTCACCGCCCTCATGGGCTCGATTTTCCCCGCTCCAGGTGTGCCCGTAAATAACAAGTGATGAAGCTGCAAAAGAAAGTCGAAATAACCGCAGGGATTTGTCTGGGATATTATCAACTACACACATAATCGTTATAACAAAATCAAGCCCTTCTCTTTTGCAAGTGTTCCCCTTTTTTGGGGACCCACCTCTGTGAACAATGCAGCGTGTTAAGAGGCTGCTCCGCTAACCTGGTGATCAATTAACAGGTCAAAAAATCAGCAGGTGGTCACGGGGGAATAATGCTACATACTGAAAATTAGCATTTTCACAAAGGGGTTGAAAATGCGCATTGTGCTGGATTGCTGCCATTAAAAATCTGATTCGGTCTTAAAAATACAGTATCAAACTGCAACTTTTGGGTTGTTTTTCTCAGGGTAGAATCGGAGGTTGCATTTATTTAAAACCTCGCTTGGCGCCTTGAGTTCTGCAGAAGTGGAGAGAGGGGTAAAAACTTTTGGGGTGGTTCTTAATTTTCCTATAATTTTAGGGTGCTCGGAGCTCCTGTCGGCGGGACAGGAGGGATGGAGGGAGCACCCCGTGCTGTGCAGCCGGGGTGATGCAGCAGTGCGAGGGTGCTTGGAAGGCGGGGGGCGGTGGGTTGGTTCGGGGGGGGCATGCCAGGCTTGTTTTTCCTTTTACGTAAGTGAAACATTATATTGGTTGTAGTGATGAAGCCTTTTTGCTGGGCTCGGCGGCATGTGACGTTTTGACAGAGCTGCTGCTCTAACCTTTGCCTCCTCCCGCTTGCTGTGGGTGGTAAGTTGATGTCAGGCTCACAATTAGGACTCTCATGCAATTGACCTTGGCAGCGGGGTTTGTGCCGTTTAGCTCGGTCTTAAACACTGTACTAGTGTTAAGTGTGGTCCGGGGCCGCCGCCGTTACAGCTGCGGGAAGCGCCGGTGGGAGGACCGGGCGGCGGGCAGGTACGGCGGGTGGCGCGGCGGCTGCTTCTGTGGGGGGGGAACCTCCGCGTCTTGGGTTGTTATTGCCCGTTATCCCGGAGCACGCCGGGAAGCGCCCTTTGCTCTGGAGCAGCCCCTGTCGCGGGCGATGCCCGGGTGGCCGCAAGGCGCGGGGGGCGCGGGGGCTCCCCGCCGTGGCCCCGCCCGGGGGGCCGGTCCCGGGCAGCGCGCGGGGCCGAGCGGGCAGCGCGAGGCGCGAGTGCCCTCCACCGACCGGGAGCGGCTCGGCGCCGCGACAGGTAACTGCGGACGGGCACCGGCAGCACGGGGCGGGGGTTCGAACCCTTTACGGGGTGTGCGGGAGCGGGGCTGCCGGGCTCCTCCGCTTGAAGCCAGCGCCTCTGATCTTCGCCTGATGCTGCTGTTGCTCCTCGGGCGTTTATTCATGAGTTTCTTCAGCCCTTGGCCGAATGCTTCTCTTGATTACGTGGATAGTCAAAAGGGTGAAGCAGTAGGTAGATAATGAGGAAAATTTAAAGCCTTGAGAATCCGAAAGCACGTGGAATCCTAGTTGTAAAGTGTAATGTGTCTTCCGGCTCATTTTGGGTAGAAAAATGCTGATAAATTCAGTGTAGAAAACATCAAGGCCTTTGTAAATTTCAGTAAGTTATCAGTCATGTGTGTTGCTTACTCAAGGCAGTGTTTTTTGTCATTGAATATTATTTAAATAGTGCTTTATAGGGGGAGAAGAAAAGAACTTTGGGACCGTTTAAGTTCTTGGAAGTCCTAGCTTTTCAGGTAGGAACAGGAAGAAATGGGGGCAGCAGGCAATTGATGTGGAGGTTTTCACATCTAGGACGGGAGTGGATAGTTGCTAATCCATCAGGAGTTAATTTTAACTGGGGAAGCGTAGGGTTATGTTAAAGTAAAAATAGTTTGTCAGATGGAGTCTGGAAAAAATAAGCTCAGCAAAGGTATCAAACTCTTTGGGGGGGGGGGGGGAGGGAAGGGGAAGGGGAAGCTTAAGCTTAAGCTCTGACTGTTTCCTCCCAGTTCAAGTGAAATATAATTTTATCATAGTTGGGGGAATTAAAATAGTCACCAATTGCTCAGATGAGTGGTAGCCCGTAGACCCGCGGCACCCTTTCTGAAAGCACATCAAACCAGACAGGCCTTAGTTCACTCCTCTTTTACTGGTTCCCTTTAAATTAGAAAAAAAATAATTTGAGCTGTGTGGATTTTATCAGCCTTCCTTGTCGATGACCGTCTTGTCCTACACAATAGTGGATTTTTTCCATCCATTTGCCAGTGATTCAATCTAACCCCCCTGCTGGGTTTACTGCATTCTTCTAACTTATTGGATAACTAGATGCTGAGAGATAACATTCCTGAAATTCGGGGGTGGGAAGATAAAAAAAAAACCACAGTAGAAGTCCTATCCCTGGGAAGCCTTTGGAGAGGGTTAAGTGAAGTGCACAAGCAATTGTGGCAGGGCTCTCGGTAAATCCCTGTGTACTGTATGTGGACAAGGAGGTTTCTTTGCAGAGAAAACCCCGGATTTCAGACCGTTAAGTTCATGTTGGTGCTGAGTGCTGGGGGGAGGGCAGGTTTGGGTAAATGAGGTGCTCTGATTGCAGGCAGTGGCTGCTCCCTCCAGGCTGGGGGGAGAGGGTGTAGAAATCAAGATGAAGAGCTTCAGAGAAACTGTTGGGTTTTTTTTAAAGAAACACTAAATTGCTCCTTTGTTATATTGGCTACTGCACAGTAACCAGGCGTCCTGCATCTCAAGCCCCTTTTTGAGATAGGGGAAGCTATTGCACTCATTTTTTTTCTAAGGTGGAAGGGAAAATGAGGTGTAACTCTTCCCTACTTGTCATGCAAGTCGCTACAAGCTGGGAATTGAATTTATTTGGCGTCCTGAGCCTTTACTGTCAGACAGGGCAGCTGGAAATTAAAATGTGTGGCAGTGGCAGCAAGAGCAGGCAGGGGCAGGGCTGATAATCTGCCTGCTGCTGCTGGACGCAGGTACTTTCAGGTTACTTGAGTTTCTCTGTCTTGAGGTGGCAACCAGTGCTTAGGACCAGAAAAGTTACCCTTGAAATTCCTCAGAACCGCAACAATCAGGAGCAGGGACTGTGCTGGAGAGTGGAAAAAGGGGCTTTGAATTTCATATGGTCCTATCGGTGGAAAAGAGGAAAAATAAAGTACTATCAAGGGAAGGGAGATAAATGATCAGATGCTTTGAAGCTGTTAAAGTTGAGGACTTGTCTAGACGTAGTTATCCTGGAATATCTCCTTAGGGGTGGGCAACAGTCTTTCATGCAGACATTTGTATTCCACTTGAAACATTTTACATGGCTACTGCAGAGGTGGAAGCTGCAGAGTGAAATGCATGTGCTCACGGAGGAGAGACTGCAAGGAAGAGCTTTGTGCTTTCTAAAGTAAAACCTACCCTTATTTTGCAACATGGGGAAACTGTGTAGTTCGGCCTGTGCGATTGACTGTTTAAGCCCCAGATGCTAAAGGATCTGGAAAAGAGGTCTTGATGTTTTAGCCTGTTCTGTGAAATATCTATTGAATTAGATGGAAATGGTTAGGAAAGTAGTAAAGACATCTTGAGCCAGTGTACAGACTAGTTACGGAAGCATCTTGTATCTTTTTCAGCAACAGTGCTTGCTTTCCCATTGTATCTGCTTACACTCTTGCAAAGATAAGTTTAAAACCATCCATTTTTTACCTCGATTTACCCTATTTTTATTGACCAAGTTCTGAATCATGTATTATTTGTACTTGTCTGCAGACTAGATTTGTCTGCATATTTTCCCACAGAGTTAAATCAACTGTAGAGGCATCAATTTAATGCTATTTGGGGTGGGAAATGTGTGCTAACACTATGCTTTTACTTGTTGGGCTGAAAGAGAGGAGGGGAATAGAAGTATTTAATTCACCCTGTTTAGATTTGAGGGATCCAAACAGTTTTCATCGTAGCTGTGCTGAGAACACATTTCCTCTCTGCTGAAAGACTTGTAACCCTGAAGTCTGTATGATTAACAGAATTGCATGCATATAGATTTGGGTCTGTTGCTCTGTAGACCATTGCATAACGGGTCTCTGATATTTGCAGTTGATCAAGTTGTTTGGGTTTTGTTAATAAATTTTCATATGTACTTCCTGTCACTCAGCATTAAGCAGTTGAGATTGATTTGTCATCAAATCATATAATACATATATATAATACATGTATTGACATATAATACCATTGTTAACCTAATAAATGTCAAGGTTTGCAATATCCTGCCTTGCAGAGCTTTTACATTACCCCAGAACAGTAAGTCAACATGGGTTGCTGCTTGGACATGCTTCCCCTCCACCCTGCCATGCACAGGATATACACATGTATCAGATGTGTGGTTCAGTTACACCTTTAAAATGAAAGCCGCAAAAAGCTTCTGTGCTTGCAGAGTCTTCTGTTCCCTTGTAAAGTGGCGTGGGCTAGTAACGTGGAACCAGAGCTAAGCCCGGAGGTGAATTACTCGGGGTGCAAGACCTGAACAGAAGAGATCTTGTAGTACAAATTCTCAGTTGTGGTTGATAATCTGCAGTGTTCCCCACTGGGTGCATGGGAGGTGAAATACTTGGGTTACTGCACCCTTGGCACCCATCAAGATGGGACCAGTTAATGCGTGTTACAGGACATTTCACCTGATGGAGGCTGTAGCACATCTGCAGTCCTTCCCACTTCTCCCTCAGCTGTATGAGCCCAAAGCTTTCCCTCCTGAGCTCTCCGGCCTGCCGTGTCCCGAATGCTAGCATGCCTCGAGCCGGGTGTGAGTTTGTTGTTCGTAGGATGGCTAGGCTGAGCAAAAACATCCTGTTTGGGTTTAGCATTGCTCTTCACCTCTCTTCCAGTTACGAGAGTTCCCTGAATGCTGGTTTTTTTTGTGTCCACGTGCAAATTCTGCTCAGTCTGATGTGTGTGGTGCTGGTGGAGGAAGGGCAGGAGTGGACTTGCAGACCAGCTCTACTTTCCTTGCCCCTCCCTGAAGTGGCAGAGTTGCAGATGCAGCTTGAACGGTGTCCTCAGTGGGTCTGAAACAGCTTCGTGTGTTTTGCACAGGACTTGGTGCTTCGCCGCCTAATAATCATCAATATCGTTGTGGGGTTCTGTAAGTTAATCAGCTTTCCTTTACCGCTGTGGCTTTTACACATCTTTTTTTGCGAGTGTGCTTTTGAAGCGGTGAAAAGTTGATACTGGACTTACTTTTGCTTTTGTCAGACTTCTTCAGTAGTAATCACTTCCATAATGTCGGAGTAGAAGTTGCTTAATAGATCAGTGTACAATTAAGAACTGCTCTCATGTTCCTGTGTTAACAATCTGATGTGAATTTCTGAGAGGTGGTTAACAAAGAATTATAAACTGAAGTGCAAACACCAAAGAAACTTATGTGGTGTTTTGCTCAGTTTTAAGATGCTTTCTCTGCCTTCCTTGTGTTCCTTTTAAACCGATTTGCAGGTGCTAGATGCCTTGCTGCGCTGTTCCCTTCTTACCTCTATGAAGGGATTTATGATAAACCTCTTCCGATTAAGTCTTGGGAGATTTCTTTCATATTATCATTTTTATTGAAAATGGAATTCAGATGCAGATTTGGGGCTGAGATTCTTTGGGGCTACAAAGTGAATTGGCAAAACAAAGAGCAAAACTGATTCTGGTGTTTTGTATCTTTAACTTGCAATTAAGGTGAAGATGGTGATCTTAAGAATAGGAAATACTCAGTTTAAATCTAGGTATTAATAATGTGACTTTCTTTTATTTTAAGGGAGTCCACAAGACGTCCCAGGTGACAGAGATGGTGAAATGAGTTCCAAAAGGTGCCGCACGGAGGAAACTAAAATCTGTGAGAAATGCTGTGCAGAATTCTTTGATCTCTCTGAATTCCTTGAGCATAAGAAAAATTGCACTAAAAATCCACCTGTTCTAATCATGAATGACAGTGAGGGAACAGTACCTCCCGAAAGCTTCTCTGAAGGTTCCCTAGGGAGCTTTCCAAGTGATCGAATGGATAGCAGGGCACGCAAGGACGTTCAGGCAAAGGGTTGCACTGCTTCTATGGAGAAGAGAGAAGGAAAAATGGATGCTGAATCAGTAGGAGGAATGTATCTTAAAATAGAGCCCCCCGTCACGCCTGCGGCTCCTGGCCTAAGCTATCTACCAAAATCCAAAGTACCAAACACTAACGTGACTTTGCAGACAATACGTGGCACTAAAGTGGCTGTGAACCAGCGGACCTCCGATGCCATCTCTTCTTCAGCAGCCAGTTTTAATGCTATCCCCATGATCCTGGAGCAGCTCGTGTGTTTGCAGCAGCAGCAACTCCAGCAAATTCAGTTGACAGAGCAAATTCGCATTCAGATTGCCATGATGGCTCCCCATGCCCTGCATCCTTCTATAGCAGCTGCTACTGACCCACTGAAAGCTCTGGGCGCTCACATGTCTCAGCAGCTTTCGGCTGCTGTTGCTTTAATCGGACAGAAATCTGGAAGCCAGAGCCTATCACTGGAATCCTTGAAGCAAGGAAAACTACCTCATTCTAACACTGGTGTTGCGGCCGCCAGCTCGCTGGCTGCTGGGCTTTCCTCTTCCTTCCCCTTGAAGCCAGAGGCAAGCAGAAGCCTCCCTGGCTCCATCTCTCAGTTCCCAAATCCTTTGCTACCTCAGTCCTCCAGCTCGGTCATCTTCCAAAATCCACTGTCGGCTGTTTCTTCTGTTATAGATTCCTCAAAGAAGGGGAAGGGAAAACCTCCCAACATCAGCGTGTCTGAAAGCAAACCGAATGCAGAAGAGCCGTTCTTCAAACACAAGTGTAAATTCTGTGGCAAGGTCTTTGGCAATGACAGTGCCCTGCAGATTCACCTCCGATCCCACACCGGTGAAAGACCCTACAAGTGTAACATTTGTGGTAACCGCTTTACAACCAAAGGAAACCTTAAAGTGCATTTTCAGCGTCACAAAGACAAATACCCCCACATAAAGATGAATCCTTACCCGGTTCCTGAGCACCTGGACAATGTTCCCACCAGCACCGGAATCCCGTATGGGATGTCTGTGCCACTGGATGAGTCTAACCTAATAGTGGATAGCAAACCTCTCCTAACAACACTGCCTACCTCTGCAGCCACCAGTGCACCTCAGACCATCTCCAGCCTAGCAGGCATTAAGGAGTCTCTGCCTGGTACATTCTCAAGTGACCTGCAGTCAAGGCCTTCTCCAGAAAGTGAGGGTGGCTCTTCCTCATCAGGGGTGGTTGGTCATGAATCGGGAACAGAGCAGAGCTTGAGTTCACCGCGAGCTACCTGCAGCGTGAGCATCTTCCATGTAAGTGGGTCAAACGAGCAAGGCTCAGAAACATCAAAGCTTCAGCAACTGGTTGAAAATATCGACAAATCCACTGCTGACCCCAACGAGTGCCTGATCTGTCACAGAGTGCTGAGCTGCCAGAGTTCACTCAAAATGCATTATCGTACTCACACGGGAGAGAGGCCATTCAAGTGTAAAATCTGTGGCCGTGCCTTCTCCACTAAAGGGAACCTTAAAACTCATTATGGTGTCCACAGGGCCAATACTCCTTTGAAGATGCAACATTCGTGTCCTATTTGCCAGAAGAAGTTTACAAATGCAGTTGTGTTGCAGCAGCATATCCGCATGCATATGGGGGGGCAAATACCCAATACACCAATGCCAGAAAACACCAGTGACAATACTGATGTGGATGCTACTGTGGCTGAGAAGAACGGAGACATCAGTCGCCCAGATGAGATCGTGGAAAGCATAGAGATAGAAGAGGACCTGGACTCTCAGGATGGCCCAAGGAGTTCTTCAAAACCTCCTACTCCGTACGATGCACAATCAGAATCACCAGCCACCACGGCCACCTTCTCTGGTATTGCAGCACTGGAGAATCAAATGAAGATCGTCAACTCTGCTTTGAACTTGCAGCGACAAAGCAGCTTGAAGTCTAGTGACAATGGCTCAGCAGAAAGTGATGGCATGACAAATGATTCTTCTTCTGTGGCAGGAGATCCAGACTACCAGAATGGCAGGAGTCCTGCTGCCTCCGAGTCTGCATCGCTCCAGGCTCTGTCCCCAGCCAACAGCCAAGCTGAGAGTGTAAGGTCGAAGTCACCTAGCTTCAACAATCAAGAAGATACAGGCATGGGAAGTAAATCAGAGGGTCCTGAGAGCACTTCAGCAGAAATGGAAGGGATTGTTGGTGCTTTGGATTTAACTTATGGCAATATTGGTCGAAAGGTCATTAAAGAAGAGCCTGGGTTACATTTTGCAAATGGAGAATATGGTGAGTATTATGACAAGTTTTCAATAACTTGGGGTGGGGTAGTAGGATTGGAGGAAATCCATCTGTAAAAGGACCAACAGGAGTCAAAATCTCCTCAGCTTTCCCCTCTTCCTTGCCTTGTATCAAAATAGGGGCATGTGCCTTGTAAAGTTTTCCTGATTCAGTCAGACTCAGAATTCATTAAAATTCAGACTTAAGTTCTGTCATCTCCTGCAAGGGGTAGCACAAATAGAGGCCCTTAAAATAGATAGAATCTGTGTACTTGCTGTCTTTCATGGGATCACCTATCGTGCTCTAAAGATCTGTCAGTATTTTCATGGAAAACTGCTTAACCTAAGATTGTGATACTAAAACTTTGGAATATTTTGTGGGATTTTCAAACAATTTAGTATTGAGGCTAATGTTGACCTGAAAGTGAGCCTTTTGAATTCCTAAGATCACCAAAAAGGTAGGGTGAACTGATTTCTGTCAAAGCATCCTAGCAAGTGTAACAGCAACCCTAACATATGACTTCAGAGGGCTTTGCAGGTGTGCTGTTTAGGCACGTGCAGCTCCAAAGTCAGGGCCTCTGGTATCTTAGCCAGACTCAAGCTTGGAAGCAGGAGGAGGTTGGGATAAACGTTATCTGTGCTCTCTTTCCAGGTCGAAGTAGTATTCCAGCTGCTTTTGTTAGAGCTCCCCCAGCCCTCGTAAAAATGGAGATGCCCAGTGAGCGTCCCATTAGCACTAGCCATTTCATTGGCCCACCAGCTCTGTCCCCTGGTGTTGCCCCTCTTCTTGTGCCACGACCGAAATTCTGCCGTCCCGCCAAACAGCACATCTGCACTACGTGTGGGAAGAACTTCTCCTCTGCCAGCGCCCTTCAGATTCATGAGCGGACCCATACCGGTGAAAAGCCATTTGCCTGCACCATCTGTGGGAGAGCCTTCACAACAAAAGGAAACCTGAAGGTAAATCATCTCTTATGTTGTGATCTCCTTTGTAAGGCAAAGTCATACCAGAGATGAGATAACTGCTGCTAATACTTATCCTGCCTTTGGGGACAACGTTGATTTTGGTTTAGTTCCTCAGATGGTTATCTTTGACTTTTGTATCTCCTTCCTGAGTTTCTTCACGCAACTTACTAAACAGTGTGTTGAGATCACCCACAAAAGTGTTTGCTACTGCCCTTGACTTTCTTTTGGGTGGTAGCCCTTACTAAGCAGATTTTCGTTTGTATTCGGATGCACGGAGACATAAACTGTTCCATAGACTGAATGCTACAGAATTGTGCTTACAGTGTACATACATTACACCACACTGCTTGAAGCACAATGCAGGACAAGGAGGGATGAAACTGAGAGAATAATCCTGAGATGGCACAAAGTACTTGTGAATTGTGTTTAAGCACTTCTGAAGTGTAGCAGGTCTGTCCTTATTGTCAGATTAATCTATTTGCCTGTAAGGAGCCTGCAGGTCCCTCGCTCACTTCCTATGAGAACCTCTTCATGCTTTTCAGCCTCTTGCATAAATGCTGATGGGGAGGGAAAAATACTGCTGTTTGTGAACAGTCACTTGCTGGAAGCACTAGCAGTATGTTTGTGGTGTGGAAGACATTAGCTTAGATATAACCTCTCTTCCAAATTTCTTGGTGAGGTTTTTTTTGCATTAACTAGTGCTTTTTTTTCAATATAGTCTACTCACAGCAAATAATGTGGCTGTTATTTATCTGGGGGGAGAGGGGCATCTTTGCCAATGCCACTTACTATAAGTGTAAAAATACTGTCCTACAAGCACTTCAGCAGTAAACTCTAGAGAACCATGATGATGCTGGGCAGGAGAATGACTATCTTACACATGCCAGGAAGAGAATAAAGACAAGAACTAGCCAGCTTAAATACTTACCTGAATGCAAATGGAGCATACATGACTTCCTTTGAGCAGCTTGACTGTAAGCAAATTAGAACTAGAGTCATAGAATCATAGAATAGTTAGGGTTGGAAAGGACCTTCTGATCATCAAGTTCCAACCCCCCTGCCATGGGCAGGGACACCTCACACTAAACCATATCACCCAAGGCCTCGTCCTGCCTGCTCTTGAACACTGCCAGCGGTGGAGCATTCACAACCTCCCTGGGCAACCCATTCCAGTGCCTCACCACCCTAACAGGAAAGAATTTCCTCCTTATGTCCAATCTAAACTTGCCCTGTTTAAGTTTTAACCCGTTACCCCTTGTTCTGTCACTACAGTCCCTAATGAAGAGTCCCTCCCCAGCATCCTTATAGTATACAATAAAAGAACTTCAGTATTAATTATTCTTTTTTGTCCCCCTTTCTTGAAGGTCCATGTAGGCACTCACATGTGGAATAACTCTGCCAGGCGGGGAAGAAGGCTCTCGATTGATAACCCCATGGCTCTGCTGGGGAATGATCCCAAGAAGGTATCTGAAATGTTTCCAAAGGATATGATGCCTCCTTCAGTGAGCATTGACCCCACAGTATGGAATCAGTATGCAGCGGTACTCAGCAATGGCATAGCAATGAAGACTAACGAGATCTCGGTGATCCAGAGTGGTGGCTTACCTACCCTTCCAGTCAGCATTGGAGGTGGTTCAGCAATAAATACTGCTACAGTCTCCAAAATAGATGGGACCCAGTCTGGGACTGGTTCTGATACTGAGAAGGCCAGTGGTGCTGCTGCAGACAATGTGCCAAAACACCAATTCCCTCACTTCATGGAGGAGAACAAAATTGCTGTTAGTTAAAAACTCTAGTGAAGCTGACGTACAGAAAGAACGAATATATATACACAAACATATATTTTTAAGAGATTCCACTTCAGCCTCCTATTTTCCTATTGACGTGCAAATGATTTTATGGTTGTCTTTGTAAGAGTTGCCCAGAGTACAATCATGATATTGCTTTGCAAATAGTAAATAATAAAGTATAGGATTTCCTTCTATTTGGAAAGATGCGGGTCTTGCAAAGTAGTTCTTACGTGTGAGTAATGTGTACAGCCTTACAGAAGTTTCTACAACTTGAGATTCCAAAGGTTAGAATATTTACCTCTTAGTTTAGAGTGAAATACCTGGGGGATTTGAAATGAGTGGAAACAACCTACTGTTGACGGAAAAGCTTCTATTTACTGATGAGAAATGAAAACTATTAATGCGGGTAAATATCCTAGAATGTCTGGACCCTCTTAGGACTAGTTTTTCTGTTTGGATTTTTGGCTCTGTGTGGTTGCTGAATGTACTTTTTACTATAATGGCTATAAAAACTACAATTTTGTTTTATTCCTTTTCTGCCTCAGAAGTTCTAAGAAGAGAAAGTTGCTGTTTTTCTTTAATCATTGCTCCTAAAGACTTAATTCTCTGTATTGTTGACTGCTGCTTATTTAATACTACTACTAGGACAGTCCTTCAAATGTAGTGCCAAAACTCCCACTTCCAAAGATGTGCGGTTTTTCCTAGATGTTTTATTTCAATGCCGAGAGCCCCAAACAAGCATGGGTGGGTATGTATATACTTTTTTTTTTCCTCTCTTGAAAGGGAAGGCTTGCCTTGGGAAGTCAGGTCTAAAAGCTCTGCAAGGAATCTCAGGTGACTGTTGCAATTGGGCATGGGAACTGGTTTCCTTAGCAAGAGGCTTTTTGATTTTGTTTTTATTTTCATTTGGGTAATTTAGAAGATCAGTCTGTGTAAACCTGTATTTAAATATGAAGTATTCATGTTTAGGTTAAATGTTTTGTGGGTTTTTGGATGGCATTCCTTCTCTGGTCATTAAGTTTCTTGGTGGTCTGTGAATCTGCATTCTGCCAAAAATGGTAATTAATGGTCCACGTGTATTGTATGAAGGTTGCTGGGATAGTCATCTGGATTCTAAGTTATCTACCTCATTTTTTCCTTATGTAGTTGTAGTGTCTATTTTTCTATTAATGACCACTGTAATGAACTGAGATTCAAGCAGATGCTTCCATGCACTATCTGAAACTAAAACCTGATGTATTAGTGGAAGCACCTGAAGATTTACTGGACTGACCTTTCACTATTCCTCTAATGTCTGCTGGAATTGTATGTGTAATGGGATCTAAACCGGACTGGAAAGTGAGTATTTGGTATGGAAGGACTGAACGATGGAAAGAAGTCTAGTTTGTTGACTGCAGGAAATCTTCAAGTCCAGTCTCCGTTGTGGAAGGCCCAAAAATGCAGATTACCAAAAGTTTGTGTAATGTTGTTGCACCTGATTCTTGCTTATGATCTCTGTATGCCGAGTTGTGCCTTTCCTGCTGGACTTGTAAGTAAGAACATACCAGTACCTGTTTACACTGTAAGATGGATATTGTTACATAGGCCATGCGAAAGGCATCCCAATTGTCAAGTTTCTGCATTGTGAATGTATGACTTTTAAGAACTCTGTAGTTTTGAGTATCTACTGATGCGTTTCTGTTGGACATTTTGAGAATAAATTTTGGGATGGCTTTTTCATACTTAGTGCTTAAATTTTTCTGGCAAAGCATTTGTCTCCTGAAGAGCAAGAAGAGGCAGCATGCTGTCTCACTCCAGTGACTCTTAAAATCCAGGGTGCAGGGTTATGCTTTAATTTAGGACTTAGGTAGCAGTGGAAGGGTCTCCAAATGAGTTTCTTGGGAACAGTTGGGGTTTGATACAGGAACTGGTACCTGCCAGGGATGTTGATTCCCACACTAAAATGGAATGTGGGCAAAATAAACATAGGAGCAAAAGAAAAGGTGGGGTGTGGGAAGGTAGAAAGCATACAACACTTAGCTAGTCTGCACAGAACATGCAGTTGTTTAAGAGCAGCACTATAGTTTCAGGAGACAAAATAGCTGGTGCAAGAGAAGACATGACCCTGCTTTGTTAAGGGAAACCAAGGGATTATAATCTGAACCATGATAGGTGAGGAGTATAGCATGAGCTCTCTCGGTGGTGATAAGCAAAATAAATATACAGTTACGCTAGCGTGGATACTGTTCTCAGCCACTGAGCTAATAACCTGCTTTGTTGCAGTGTTGCTTTGGGTGCCCAGATGGGCTCACTGCCAGAGCTGCTCTGTTCCTTCAAACTTTGGGCTGGATTTCTGGCATGTTCCTTGTGCTGGTACTTCTGGGCACCATGTGCAGGATGTGCTGGCTGTGCAGGATTAACTGGAGCAGCACTGAGACCAGTGTGGTTTCAGAGGGGAGGTGTTGGGTTTACAGAAGAGCTGGATCGTATCTAAAGACCTAGCTGGGAAATCTCAAGCATGGGCCAGCTATGGGTGTTGTAAAGAAGTGGCCTGGCTTCAAAAGAACATGCCTGCTCTCTACTGTGGTATAGGCGATGCCATGAAAATATGCTAGCAGCAGGAGGAAACGAGCAGTTTTGCTAGCAGGAAACCTACAAGACCTGCTGCCCTGGACCTCTGCACCTTAGTAATGCCTGTTGATGTCTCCTCAGCCAAACACTGAGGTTTGGGATCCCTTCCTCTCTTAAATGTAGACTCTGAGCCTGTCTCATGAGTGCTGAGATCACATTACAACCTCATCTTAAAAAGTGCCTAAATGTAGTGCTGCCTTTTAGTGATCATCTATAAGAATGTAACTGTATATTTAGACCTTTACCTTCTTTAACTATTGGTCAACAGGTTAGAAATTAAGCGGAGATGAGGAGGGAGGAGGAATTTATTGAAACATGAGCTCTGGTCTAGAAATAGAAGGTCAGGAAATGGCTAGGCAACCAGGACAAGAAGTTTTGGCAAATAGGTGTATCATGTCCAGCATAGGGTGGCACAGGGGAATCCAGACTGAGCTAGGGCCTGCCTTGGCCAGACAGACAGCAGTGAAAATGAAACGATGTGACTTGGCACAGAGTCAGTACATGGCTTTGCTCTCCAGGACATTGTGTCAAGCTCTTGCTGTGCCTAAAGCTGTATCTCACAGCTCAGTGACAAGGCAGCTCCAGGCTGGAGCATAGCAGGATCCCCAGCTAAGCTGATGTGAGGAAGTCATGGATCTTATCACAAAACCTGAAGAACGGGTAGGACCTATCTGACCAGTGTCCCCCCAGCAGAAAGTGGGCTATGTCATAGGACTGTTTCTGCTGGAGGTAGCTGGCTGGAGCCTGTGTTTCTGAAGCAAGCAGGACTGGGAATTGGCTGCTTTCCCATGTACTAAAAGACAGAGCTGAACCAACACCTTCTGAAACAGTGTGGTGAAAACTGCCCTGGCAAGTGTGTACAGTTTACAGTAATGTTGCATCTCAACCATTTAAAAAGAGAGCTGATTTTTCCTGTGCTGATGTAAATTAGGAACAAGTTTACCAAAGCTAATACAGCTACACTGGTGTGAGTGCAGAAGTTAGCACGGTATGTGAGCTGTCTCTGCTCATTAGCTTTTCTTCTTGCCTAAAGGACTCTCCTGTTCTTATTTGTTAACTGCTTACTTTGTTCAGCACGTAGAGGATTTGCCCAGGCTGTTGCTTTTGTGTAAGTAGCATATTTACTTGTGTGAGCTAAGGTAAAGGCTGGCCTACTTAAAATGTTAAATTTAAACTTTAAAGTTGCATTGTTTAAAAAAGAAAAATAAAGTGCATTAGCTTGATGTGTTAGCTCTATTCCTCTAAAGAAACATTTCTATTGACCTACCCCATGTGTTCAAAACTTACCAAAAAGTCAATGAGAACTCTGAGGAGCAAGTTTGTCTGGAAATCGTGGATAATCAGCTCTGGGCTGAGCTGGGTAAGGTTGATTGCCTTTCCCACAGCTGGCAGTGAGGAGGTGGGAGCCTTCCTGGGGCTGCTGATAAATACAGCATGGAGCAAAGCGTAAATGACCACTAAGGGGATCTGCAGAGGGGAGAGGACCTAGCTGAGGTGCTTGATCCAATAGGATGGCAAGGAGAGGCTGAAACAAAGGAAACGGTATGCATATTGCATTAATTTTTCATTTTTCCTGTTGAAAGCCATTGTGCTTACTGCAGGGCTTGCAGTACATTTGGAATGAGGAAAGATGATGGCTTCTGTTTGCAAAATAACAGCTTAGGCAGAAAGCCTTTTGAGCATCTATGTGATCCCATGAGGTTGCTGCTACTGTGCTGAGGCTTTCTCAGTCCCTTGTGTTGTGTGTTCAGATGAGAGGGCTCTTCCCTGCATGCACTTCCTATGGCCTCCCTGCTCGCACTCACTGGTGAGTGCTCTTCATTAGTGATGTGTGGGTGAGCACTGGACTTGTGTGTAACTTCAGCTCACATTCGTCACTGACCTAGAAACACGCCTGTCATTGCACAGCCACAGCAGGACAGGAAACATACCTCAGAAGCGGAGAAGAGAACCGGCTATTGCACGATCCTGCCTATTATCCTGTTACCTATTTCATTATTGTATCTTCTATTTTCTGCACTTTGGGTTAATTACTTGTAAAGAGCAGTGGTTTTGGCAACATTTTGATTGCTGTTAATATTGCTCATACTCGAAGTTTCGATTGATTTATTGGAAAGCATGCTTTTTAATGCCTATTATAACTGAATTGTGCTGGATTTAGCCAACCTAAAAGCAGCATCCCTCTCTTTTCAAACTTGTTATTAGCCTTTCTGGTTGCTACATCTCTCAGTCCAAAGACTAACTCCTCTGACTCAATTGCTTCATGCAACTGAAGTTGCAAGTTCAAGAAAATGTCTTGATTCAGAATGAGAACAGGTGGATTTCATTGTTTGCCTTATTTTCCACTACTTAGTTTAAGCAAAATTCAGACATTACTGAAGATTTGTGTAAAAGTGTCTTTAAAGAAAGCTAAAAAAAAAGCCCAAATCAAGTGAAATTCACAATACCCAGTGCTGTTTGAGATATATTTTTATATATATATTTAGTCAAACATAGACTCTATATACATGGAGGAAAAGCGTGTCCATAATGTCAACACAATACCTAGAACTACAAGAGCAGAAGGGAAGAACAGGGTGAATATAAAGACCACAGCCTCAAGCAGCAATGGGAATTGGTGCAGGGACAGGAATACAGATCCACTCTTGCAGTGTTTGAATCTCTTTACACTGGAGTGTGGTCACAGCTTCTCTAGGCTTGGAAGCATGAAGAAACCTTGCTGAAATATGCTGTCAAACTGATGGTCACTAAGAGAATGCTGGAGCAGAAGGGAAAAAGCTGAAGAAGCTGAAGCCTGTATGCTGCAGGGAGGTATTCCCCAGCTCCTCTCTGATGCCGGACTGGCTTTGGTGGGCAGATACCACACCTGAGCACTCACAGTAGGTCAGGAATCCTCTTGGGTTCCTTCTCAGTCTGGTTAAACAGGATACATTGCACGAACAAAGCCTTTTTAAAAACAATTTGTTGTGCAGGGATGTTCCGATGCTTTTGCTTACGTGTTTAGGAGCAAATGTGATTCAAAGCATAAATAAGATACCATTTTATTAATAATGAGTTAATAATCTTTATTAGATCATTATTAAATCAATCAGCTCATTTAAACAGTCAAATAAAAAACTCCACAACAACAGAAACCCAAACAAAACCAATTAAAAGAAACCCAAAAGCATCACCTCAAACCAAAGTGTGAGCTGACCGAAAGTCAGAGCACCCAGTCTGTGAAACCGTGAGAATGTGAGGGCCAGGTGGGATGTTGCGGACAGAAAGGGGATGCAGGAGGAATATATGGAATAAATAATCACTCAACAAATAACCTGTATTCTTAATGTAGTAATGCAGAATCTGTCCTGCAACCTTTTATGCATATTATCTACCTGGATACTCCATAGTATGCGATGATAGGATACTTCTAAATCAAGTTAACTGAATTGGTTTAACAGCCCTTTACAGTCCTATAGAAAAATTTGTCTCCATGCAGTCTCGATATTCAAAATGCCAAACATTTTTAATTTATTAGTTTTTTATATGCTGTTGCTTTGTTTGTTAATACACTAGTTGTTCCCATGAAGCCAGTTTGATTACTTAAGTCCTTGAAGTGCAGTACACATTCAAGTGGTTTACTGCTTTGTAGTACCTAAATCACTGTATGTATTAAAAGTACTCCACCTCTCTCAACTCATGATGTCCAGATCTGGAAAAAAATCAGATTTCCTCATTGCCTATTCCTATGTTCCCCTATAAATTCTTTCAGAATGAACTGACAAAATAATCACTTTCTGTGTGCAGGGGGTGTTGATAAAATTTGCAAATATAAAATATGTAACAAATACCAACTCATTCTCATTTTATAGCTTTACATTTTTTTATCACACCTACAGGATGTAACAGAAAAACACCATAGTGAGAATTCACAAAACAGCTACAGCTAATAGCAGAATCACTAACAAAACCAGAGCTAACAAAATAAAAATGTGAATTTATTTCTCTTGAAAACAGCACCTTTTTCTTTCTGAATTTCTTATATTTGACAGCTGTCCTAGATGAATGAGTTTGGCTATTATTGCTTGGAAAATTAGGTACTGAAGGGTTGTTTTCTTCTTGATCCGCAA